TGTGTGTGTGTGTGTGTGTGTGTGTGTGTGTGTGTCTGTGTGTGTGTGTGTGTGTGTGTGTGTTAGTTAGTCTGTCTCGAAGGGTCGTTACATCATTGAAGTGCCATAATAAACTCTGAGGCCTGTCCGTGCATTACATGTGCGTGTGCGCATTAAAGGAATAATTCAGCCAAAAATGAAGATTCTGTCATCATTTACTCGCCCTCATGTCGCTCCAAACCCGCTTGACCTTCTTTCTTCTGTGAAGCACAAAATACAATGTTTAGAAGAAAGTTCATGCTAAGATGAAAGAAGCAGGATTTTTATAGTCAACTAAAACTAAAACCATAAAATACATTACTTGAAATAGATAAAATGAAATAAATGATAAAAACTTAAATGTATTAAATAACTAAAATTAAAAAAAACACTTGGAATAAAATAAATGTTACCTGAAATAAAATATAACATGTAAAATATTAATTATATAAAAATCTAAATATATTTTATATAATATTTTTCTAGTTTCCAAGGCAACGTTTCTCATTTTAATTTATGTTAACATGATGTACTAAAATAAATAAAACTAAAATGAAATAAAATAAAAACTATATAGACACATGTAAAATAATAATTAAAAAAACTAAATTACTACAACTTTAAAATAAAATTCAAATTAAAACTGAAAATATAATATAATAATTTAAACTATTAATAAAAACTATAATAGTATCTAAACACTAAATAACAGAAGCCTGTTTCCACCATGGAATAAAAAATAAATACAATAAAAATAAAAAGGTAATTTCAACATTTAAGACTTTTTTCTCGCAGTTCTCAGAATTGCAAGATACATTCTGATGAAAAAAAGTCAGAATTGAGATAAAAAAGTAGCAATTACCATTTTTATTCCATGGTGGAAACATGTTAAAGTATTATAAAAATATCAAAACAGTAGTTCATACAACACTTCTGAAGTCGCACACTAGATTTGTGTGAAAAACAGAGAGAAATGCATCAGAAATGCAGGAACCTGAAGCATGCAGGACTACGTTTATGATTTGCATGGTGCATTTTGAGCTGTCAGTACGAATCATCATCATGCTGAACATCTTTTGTGTTCCACAGAAGAAATAAAGTTACACATATTTGAAACGACTGAATTAAAATTTTTAATTAAAAGTCCTCTTTTCTTTCCTCTTTCCTCTTTGCAGTGCATGTCCATTTTTGTCTTTTGTTCTTTCAGCCTCATCCACCTCTCTCTCTCTCTCTCTCTCTCTCTCTCTCTCTCTCTCTTCATCATGCTGAACATCTTTTGTGTTCCACAGAAGAAATAAAGTTACACATATTTGAAACGACTGAATTAAAATTTTTAATTAAAAGTCCTCTTTTCTTTCCTCTTTCCTCTTTGCAGTGCATGTCCATTTTTGTCTTTTGTTCTTTCAGCCTCATCCACCTCTCTCTCTCTCTCTCTCTCTCTCTCTCTCTCTCTCTCTCTCTCTCTCTCC